TTTTACGATGGCTAAATATTACAAAAAATAATTATAAAAGTTTTAAAACCATGGTAGCTCAAGGACAACCGGTCGCTGATAATTTCACAATACGCGAACATACTGTGAAATTATTAGTGAACGAACAATGAAATTTTTAATTGCAATTTCATTTGTGAGTTGAGAAGAGTCTGCTAACCTAAGATGTTTTTCGGGTTCCGTACCTCAAAAGGAAAAAACGGAACCCTTATAGGATCACTTTGTTGTCCGTCTGTCTGTCTGTCTGTCTGTCTGTCAAGACCCTTTTTCTCAGGAACGCGTGTAGGTATCAAGCTGAAATTTATATCAAATACTCTAGTCTACTGTCCCTTAGAGCTGTGAAAAAATCAAACTTCTAAGCCAACGCAATCAAAAGATACAGCCGTTTATGCCGTAAATTTTCGACATTCGCAAGAGAATCAAAACCTACAGAATACTTCCCGTGAACTCAGAATCTTAAAATTTGGTACGAAGCAACGTTTAATAGTTTATAGCACAGATAAAGGAAAAATTGCGAAAAGTATAAATTTTTAGTTACATCATATAATAAAAATATTTTTAATAATTTTAAATGTATGTACCTACAGATTTGTTCGGAACCCTCGGTCCGCGAGTCCGACTCGCACTTTGCCGCTTTTTTAATACGTCTTTGCTGCTAACATGCAGTGGGTCAGCGCGGCGGATACGTCCTTATTCCTTACCCTAAAAACCCTCTCAGAAACGAAAGTTCTGTACCTATAAGTGGGCCGCATATAGGCTGAACTTTACTTTTATAGCGTAAAGAATATAGTTTATAGAATAGTTATATTTATAGTTCATAGTTTTAAGAAACCTAAATGTTTTAATAAAATCCAAATTAAAAAACCAGAGCATGTAAACAGTAAGTAAAATCATATACAGGGTTATTATACAATAAACCCAATTTGCAGAGAAGGTCCAGAATAAGTAATATAGGCAAATGGTGAGGAAAAATTAATTAAAAAAATCTCAAACATCCTTTTTATCTTTTAATATCAAAATACGTGTTAATGCATTATTTGGTATGGTAGGCAAAAACGCTGTTGCCCATAAATCACATACAATTTGGGATAGTTTCAAATAAAAGCAGAAGCCTTATTTACTCGTATTTTCATAAACTGCATTAATATTAAATTAAAATTATATCATCTACACTACTATTATAAAGAGGAAAGATTTGTTTGTTTGTTTGAATTGAATAGGCTCCGAAACTACTGGACCGATTTGAAAAATTCTTTCACCATTAGAATCCTACATTATCCCTGATGAACATAGGCTATGTAATATTTTCAAAAAGTTAGGGATCCGTATGAAAACTTCGTTAATGTAACCCAAGGTGTGAAAAAAATACCAAAAAGAATCCTTATATCGCGTACGCTTCGGAAACTATTGATAATAGAGCAAAGTAATGTATTTCACTTTTATAGAGGATATTAATCACTACAAAAAAGTCTAAGATACCATATGTTTAACTATTACAGTTATGTCACAATAACTACTTTTTCATGTTAAAATGTGAAATAGTAACGCCGGTTCAAAATAGGCCACATTATTCATATCAGTACCTGTATCATGCATAACTACCAGTTACGTTAACCATGTAATTTTAGTATTATATTTCACTTTTTAAATCTTTGTTAATTCAGCAACCGTCCGTCGTGATGTCTCTCTCGAAGTTCGCATGTCGCAAGGCGCAGATGCGTGATATACGCGGGTGAAACCGCGGGGCACAGCTAGTTATTTATATATCTGAACTTAAGTTTAAAATAGTTTAAAATAGAATGCATTACATTAAAATTGAATTAGGTAAATATTACTTTATTATGACTCTGCATCGTCATCGAAGTGGCTTTGGTGTTTGTCTGCAGTGCTGTGGGATAGCGAGTTCGAATCTTACACGCATGTTTGTAAGTCAGTACGTTTTACTTCTTGTACTAGTATTTATTTTGTGGTTCCTCCGTATTCGGCTGCATCATCACTCACCATCAAGTGGTATAGTAGTCAAGAACTGGCTTATTATAGTAAAAAAAAAACATCATTTATATATAGCAGTCAGTAAAGATAATAAGTTATCGGTAAAATTAGGTTCCTACACAAAGTAATTTTACGTTTTCATTTTTATTAATTTTACCGATGTGTAAAAGGTGACAGGTCACGGGGCCATGTCATGGCAAACAAATTAGATCCGTTTTAAGTAATAGTCAATATTCAAGGCACTAAAGCTGCTTGTTTACATTTGGCATGTTAAGAATAGTCGAGTGAAAACTTGTTTTTAATTTATTTAGGTAATTTAAAGTTATGTATACGTGTTAGAGCCATGCTGAAGCTATATTAGTGGCATAGTTGTAGCACGAATGGGTCGGCTCGACCGGGGAAGGACCACGCTCTCACAGAATAATAGCGTAAAATGCAGATTAACGCTGCCGTGTTTCGTATGGTGAGAAATTTAAACGAAACGAGGCATTCCATCTTAGTCCTCAAGGGTGACAACGTATCTACATTTTGATTCTTAATTGGCGATAGATGTAGATGTCTGTGGTTTGGTCACTCGCGGTGAACAAAGAGGAACCCCTTGGCTGGCCCGTGGTGTAGGGCCGGCTCAAGGTGGCCACTCCGAGTGGGCTTGGTGAGTCCACTTCGGATGTCTATCGGTGGGTTGCAGTGAGAAGGGTGCCCTCTCCCCCTACCGCTGCAGTCGAGGTGGTATCGCGGGGGAAGAAGAGTCGTATTGCGAGGCGCCGCTGTCCCTACCCTTCCCTACCCTCCGCAGCCGAAACTTGGTTGGCGGCGGAGCCAAAGACCAGATTCGCCGCTGGGGTTGGGAAAACGAGTGCTACCGAGCGCTCGATTTTCCTGACCCCATGGCTTCCATTCGGGGGGGGGGGGGTCCATTATGCAGGTGGAGCCGTGGAGTAAAGCGTGCCATATGTTCCTGATGCGCCTTGCCTGAGAAGGAGAATGGGGAGGAAAAGCCTCCCTCAAGGAGGAGTGGCCAGCGCTGGTGGGGCCGCGGATGTGTGCGAAAGCGTTCCCGTGGCTCTGCCAATATGCGGCGAAGGTGGAACACCATGCGGTTTTAGTCGGTGCGAGTCCGACATAACCCTTCCTTGCCCCTGTGATGCGGGTATGCGTAGGCATTTTCCCATGTTAAAAAAGATATCTCTGGGCCACAGCAACCACTTACCATCAGACGGACTAAGGATTTTTAAGATTCCCTTTATTTATTCATTATTAGATACATGCTTACAAACTAACAGATGATAGCATCCAACACGCTTGTAACATTAGATACATTAAATTAACTTTAAATAATTTTATATATAATCTTAATTAAATAAAACACATTACAAAATAAATTACATTAAATTAAAATATATATATATATATATATATATATATATATATATATATATATATATATATATATGTATATATATATATTCAACATTAATAATTAAAATAATTGCCTCTAATTAAATAAATTAAAAAAATAAAATAAAACAAAATTAGTCAACTTAATATTACACATCATTAAAATTATATTACACATCATTATCTATACATATAATAAAAATGTAAATAGCAGACGTCTGTACATTTTATATTTTTGTAATAAAAGTGATTGAGAGATACTAAAAATAAGTAATTAAATACATTTCTACCGTTTTTAGAATTGTCTGTCTGTCTGTCTGTATGTCTGTTTGTTTGTTAACGTATCACATATAAAGTACTAATTTATATCATGAGAATCGTTTAGGAAATTATAAAGTGTATCTTCGGATTACATTTAGTCTTCATTTCATTAAAATCAGTTCATTCCATCAAAAGTTATGATAAACATACTGAAGTATGGGTACGAGGTATATGTACGAATTTGTTCAATGGTAGCGTTGACTGAGCCATCAAGTGCATTTTAAACTAATATCATGTTACAAATCATAATTAAATGATGTTATATGATGTTCTATAATGATTTAATTATATCTAAAATGCAGTAAACAAAAGTATTAAAGAAAAAGAACGTAATAAGTATATACAAAAATATATTAATCTTATTATCAAGTCTAATCTAAAGTTATAAAGATAGATGGCAATTTTGTAAAAATGTAATACAAAAAGGCAGGTTGTGGTTTTTTCCGGTAGATGAGTTGCCCTACTGCGTGTTGACAAACTCAATTATTCTTTTCCGACGAGTAATCTAATTGCTAAATAAAATTTTAAAAGAGCTATTAACAATTTCGTTGATTTTGGCTAAGATCAAACTTTCTTTTTGCTTACTATGCACGCAATGATTTATAAGTGTTTTTATCTTTTATATAATATATCAATTGCGTCAATTAATCTCTTTTATTTTTAGAATTAATGTTAACAGCGCCATCTCTCTTTAAATCTATACATATAATAAACATGGTGATAACATGTTGTGTCTGTTTATGTACATTGTATAGTAGGTATGTTTGTGACTAAAATCATTATGGGGACTGAAAATCATTAAATAAGTACATTTTTATATCTTTTAGAATTGTCTGTCTGTCGGTCTGTCGGTCTGTCTGTTTGATTATGAACGCATAACGTTTTGAGTGAACATCTTTTTTGCAAAGAAGTCGTTAAGAAAATCATAAAGCGTATATTCGAGTTCATTTTTAATCTTTGTTTTATTAAAATTGATTAATTCTATCGAAAGTTATGATTATTATTTTTAAATCTAGGTTCGAATCTGTTTAAAGGCGCCATAAAACTCAGAAATAGTAATAAAAAGATACGTGTGTAAAAAAAACGTTCTATTATAATATACTTAAAATACAGTAAACAAAACATATGTTTTCCTTAAAAAAAAGGATGTTTTCTCACAAAGAACGTAATAGATCGCGTTGTTGAAGCGCCTGTCAAATTATATTAGCAGTTCTCATGCCAATATTAGTCCGTAAGCTGTGTAGGTATGTCTAAAAAATGTTGTACCGGTCGTCGTTGTAAAATTTAGAGATCAAGTAAAGGTCGATTGAGCAAATTACTGCATTTTATTATTAAAAAGAGATCAAATTCCTATTCATGGTCCTAAATCGAAGCCGGATTTGAAAAAACGTAATTGGACAAGATATTATTTAGTGGAATACGCTTGGGAAGTCTTAAATATTCGTTGTGGAAATACCACCGAGGGAGTGAAGATATTTAACCAAGAAATCTGGAGTCTTATCCCCTTAGATATTGGACTATTATTTAATTTATTTAACCCAGCAGTCATTATCAGGTAGTATTTTGTGTAAATCGACTGCTAATTTATCAGGTTAGTACCAAATTACCTATAAAATAATTACGTATAACTTAAAGTATTTAATCGGCTAAAATTCATTTAATATTGTTTTATATAGTTTCTAATAACCGTCAAATCATGATTAAATCAAATTATAAAGCTTAGTTAAATTATATTGACGATATTATAATTTTTTTTTCTCTCTTTTAAAATACTAAGGCATACCTGTGAAGCTGTTTGATGGTCTGAATTGTATTTGTTACCCTTAATTGTTGTTAATTATAAAGTTAAATATCAAGGTAGTACATGTACCATTTTGTTTAATTATTTAAGAGTTTGAAAAATAAGTAAGGGAATTAGTTTTCATTTCTTTACAACTGTAAGCAAAATTGTATAAAACTACTTATGAATTATATTTTATAAAATATAAACTTCTTGTTTGTATAAATTTCAGGCATTTGCACTAGTCTCCCAATACCAGCCAGCATGCCAGAAGATAAGGAGCAAATTAGGAAACGAGCTAGTTACAAGGGACAAATAACAGCTTTTTCAAATTATTTAAATTCACTGAAGGTATCTTCATTGGCTGCTACTGAGGTAAATGAGTTGCAATTACGTATTAGTAGGATTGAGTCAATGTATGAACGATATGATGAGGTACAATTATCCATCGAGTGTAATACTGATAATATAGACGCCAGATATCAGAACGAACTGATTTTGAATCCCTGTATTTTAAATCGCTTTCTCTTGCAAAAAGGATCTTAGCAGATTGCATTAAGTCAGATGACGTAAGCAGTGACGGTGGCTCTCATTCCGGCAATCATAAATTTGTTAAACTGCCCACTATTCAACTACCTAAATTTAATGGTTCTTATGATAATTGGTTAGAGTTTCATGACACGTTCATGAGCCTCATACATTCAAATGACGAGATAGATGACATAAATAAGTTTCACTATCTGAGAGCGTCGTTGGAAGGGCCCGCTGCTGTGGTAATACAGTCAATCGAATTCTCAGCAGCTAATTACACCGTCGCATGGACTATATTATGTGATAGATATGATAATAAAAGACTACTAATTCAAAATCACGTGACAGCCTTATTTAATATAGCACCAATTAATAAAGAATTGTCTGTCAACTTAAAACGTCTTATTGACCAAATAAATAAAAATTTACGTGCACTAGAATCTCTCGGTGAGCCAACTAAACAATGGGACACACTTCTCATTCATATTATTACTCAAAAATTAGATGCTAAGACATATCGTGAATGGGAAGAGTCTAAAGGTCGTTTGGAGAAAGATACACCTATTACGTTCGATATATTTTTGATGTTTTTAAAAAATCGAGCCGATTTAATCGAAACACTAGAATGTCTAATTCTGGTGCTACTAACCGTTTAAATTCTTCTATAAAATATGCTCCAAAAGTTAAGGCAATGGTTTCAGTGCGGGATACCGGTAATAAAAACGGTTCGGCCTTTTCCGCCAAACTGTGTCCTAAATGTAAGGGTGACCATAAGTTAAGCAGTTGTCCTCAGTTTCTTGGATTAAGTAACGATGTGCGTCTACAGTTACTGCCAGAGTATAAAGTATGTTTCAATTGTCTTAATTCAGGACATTATGCAAATCACTGCAAAAAGCCAGGATGCAAAATATGCCACCGAAAGCATAACACTCTCGTGCACGTCGCAGATTACCAGTCAAAACCAATTACAGATATTAATACATCTAACACGAGTAATGGTAATAATAAGCCCGTTATGCAAGGTCATTTCGAACAAACAAACAGTTCGACAGGCTCACAGTTGTCATCCAATTCTAACGCACATCTGTCATTATCCGCAAAGGTAGGCACTGCATCGTGTAGTGAACAAGGCGACGTATTGTTATCGACGGCATTAATTAAAGTTATAGGTAAGAATGGTTGTCCATATATTGCTCGTGCTATTCTTGATAGTGGCAGTAACGCTTGTTTAATAACTGAAGAGTTATATCAAAGGCTAGGTTTGCCCGCTCAAAATGTAAATCAGTCGGTAGTCGGTATTAATAATGCTTCGGCACACATCAAGAAGATTTGTAAGGTATCGATAAAATCATTGAATGATAACTTCTCTAGTAATCTTCATTGTTTTGTCCTACCATCAATAACCCAAAATGTACCTACTAGATATGTTAATTTGTCAAACTTAAAAATTCCATCTAATATTTCTCTGGCAGATCCTAATTTTCACTCACCTGCTCCCGTTGACATGCTTATAGGTGCTGATGTCTTTTGGGACTTAATAGGAACGCAGAGATTAAAATTAGGGGACGGTCAGCCGATTCTTTGTGAAACTAGCTTAGGATGGTTAGTATCAGGTCCGATAGATTATAGATATGTAAAGAAAGGGGTTAACTTTATTAAATGTAATTTTACAAGAATATTTCAAGATGAGGCTAGTAAAGATTTAGATGAAGATATACAAAAACAATTAGTACGCTTCTGGCACCTCGAAGAGGTAAGCCCTGCGTCTCTTTATTCAAACGAAGAAAAATTATGCGAAGAACACTTTTTAAAAAACACCACGCGACTGGTAAATGGTCGATTTTGCGTGAGGATACCCTTAAAACATAATCCTGACGTATTAGGTGATTCTTGGCCACGAGCTAAAAAGTGTTTACTATCGCTAGAGCGCAGGTTAGCAGGTCAATCTCAGGTCTATGAAATGTATAAAGAATTTATGTCAGAGTATGAAAGTCTGGGTCATATGGAGAAATGTGAGAATGATAATTTACCACGTAAGATGCATTTTATACCACATCACGGTGTGCTTCGGGAAAGTAGTACTACTACTAAATTAAGAGTCGTTTTCAATGCTAGCAGTCCGACTTCTTCGGGTGTTTCCTTGAATAATATACAGATGGTAGGTCCCGTGGTACAGGACGACCTTTTGTCCATTCTTTTACGCTTTCGGCTACACAAATACGTTCTCACAGCTGATGTTGAGAAAATGTACCGGCAAATAGTCATTCATCCCGATGACCGCTATTTGCAACAAATTGTCTGGCGTGATAACCCTTCAGAACAGCTTCAAGCTTATCAACTTAACACCGTGACTTACGGCACCTCTAGTGCTCCCTTTTTGGCAACTAGGTGCCTCCAACAATTAGGCTTAGAGTGTACCGATGACAAGGTTGCTCAAGTGATCATTCACGATTTTTACGTTGATGACTTGCTAACGGGAGGGGATGATATTAACGAGGTTACAGATTTGCGCCGTAAAGTGACTTCCACACTTGCATCAGCTCATATGGTTTTGCGAAAGTGGAAGTCGAATGAATCTCAACTGGTTAGTGAAAATGATATTTCTCCGCTTGATTTGAATATTGGTGGCTTTGAACCGACTAAAACTTTAGGCCTTGGTTGGCAATCACATACTGACCAACTTTGTTTCCCTATAGGAGGGCTATTCTAAGGTAGAACAAAGCGTGATATGTTATCTGTGATTTCTCAGATTTTTGATCCACTAGGACTTCTATCTCCCTGTGTAATTAAGATGAAAATGCTTCTTCAACAGTTGTGGCTGCTCAAGCTGTCATGGGATGAGCAGTTGACGCCAGAAATCAGCAAGATGTGGGCTGAGATAATAGTCGATTTACCTAAATTAAATACTCTACGTATTCCACGTCGTGTTATTTGTGACTCGCCTAGTTTGTTTGAATTTCATATTTTCTCGGACGCTTCTGAGCGAGCATATGGCGCCTGTTTATATGTGCGTAGTGTTAATGATCAGGGTGAGGTTTTAATTCAATTATTGATGGCGAAAAGTCGTGTCGCGCCGCTTAAACCTATAACAATCCCAAGACTGGAACTTTGTGGTGCACTTGTTGGAGCTCGCCTTTACCAAAAGGTTGTAGCATCGCTGAGACAACAGGCTAAGCGCACTTTCTTTTGGACAGATTCGTCCATCGTGTTAGGATGGTTAAAGGTGTTACCTAGCAAGCTACAACCCTTTGTCAGAAATAGAGTTGCTGAAATATTAGAGAAGACTGGAAATTGCGAGTGGAGGCATGTCCCAACAGAGTGTAATCCGGCCGATCATATTTCTCGCGGTGTGAGTTGTAAGGATATTTCATCCATGAGTAAGTGGTGGTCAGGACCTGAATTTTTAAAGAAAGAGGTCTCTCACTGGCCTGCAAATTTCTTAAGTATTAATCACGAGTTGCCTGAGATTAAATCGTCAAATGTTATCCTCCACGGAATACTTCATTCTAGCAACAATGAAGATTTAGGTGGGAATAAATTAATTGAATTTAAACGCTTTTCTAAATATACTAGATTAAATCGGACCGTTGCTTATGTGCTGCGTTTTATTAATAATTGTAGAAAGCAATCCGTTCACGGTCCTCTAAGCAATCAAGAGTTGCAAACCGCACTCAATGTTATTATAAGAATATCTCAGAGTGAATCATTTGAGGAATACACCATGTTAATTAAAAATAAAAGTTTACCCACTAAAAGTCCGTTGCATAAATTTAATGTATTTCTCGATGATAATAAAATAATGCGTGTTGGAGGGCGTCTTGAAAATTCCGATTACTGTTATGAGAAAAAACATCCCATACTTATACAGTCCACTCATTATTTTACCAAATTGCTCTTCAATTATGAGCACATAAGGTTAATGCACGCGGGACCACAGCTAATGTTGGCCACTATAAGAGAGATGTACTGGCCGATTAGAGGTCGTAATTTGGCCAGATCTTGTTATCGACAATGTGTAAGATGTAATAGAATGAAAGGAAAAACCATCTCTCCAATAATGGGCAACCTACCACACCAACGCATCCTTTCTGGTTTTTCATTTCAAAATATTGGACTAGACTATGCGGGACCAATTCAATCTGTTTCTCGCCATGGCCGTGGTTGTAAAATTGTAAAGGTGTATATAGCTATTTTTATTTGCTTCGCGACTAAGTCAATTCATCTTGAATTAGTGGGTGATTTAACTAGCAATACCTTCATATTAGCTTTGCGCAGATTTA